TTTCTTTCTTAAAGCTGCATTGTGATACCTTTTAACCAGTGATGGGATTCAATTTTTTTTACTACCAGTTCTGTGGACATGGCTTGGTGGGCGTGGCATGACTTGGTGGGCATGGCAGGGGAAGGATACTGCAAAATCCCCATTCCCTCCCCACTTCAGGGGAAGGATACTGCAAAATCCCCATTCCTTCCTGATCAGCTGGGACTTGGGAGACAGAGAATAGATGGGGGCATGGCCAGCCAGAGGTGGTATTTTAGCGGTTCTCTGAAGTACTCAAAATTTCCGCTATCGGTTCTCCAGAACTGGTCAAAACCTGCTGAATACCACCTCTGGCCAAGTGTTATAAGAAAGGTAATTTCCAAAGATATCATTTCTAAAGTCACCACTCCATGAGTACTGCAACAATTAAAATAATTCCAGTAACAATCAAAATCTCTTATTGCCTGCATCCAGTCTTTGCTTCTCAAGTAAGTCAGCTTGTGCAAAGTGAATGAAGTGAATTTCTCTCCAAATTATGGGATAGTTAGAAGGTAATCAAGTTTTACTGAATTTCAACCAAACAACTACCATCTACTTACTCAGCAACTTGATATAAAGAAGACACTAAAAATGAATGTAAATGATACTGTAGTTCTTCCCCACTTAACAATCAGCTTAACAATGTATCTCTGGCTATAAAACTAAACCAAGTTCACTCATTCAAAGAACATTTAGCAGGTCTAATTGGAAAAATGGTTTCAAAATGGATTTCCCACCAAATTTGCTAGACAGTGTTTATCACACTAAGCAAAGAGGCAACTGACAAGGAATTGATTATGTCTCAATTGAAGGAGGTTGAAAAAAAAAGCTGAGAAACATCCATGGAATAGAAGAATATATATAACCTGTATAGAGCTGTATAATTGAGTGTCATAGAAGCATTGGAGAGAGATGTGTGTATTTGTGTGTGTGTGTGTGTGTGTTGTGTTTGAGTGTAACAGGTTATTTACAAGGCTTACTTGTAAATAATATTGAGTCAATTTTTGCCTTGTTTTTAATTAAATTAGTGAAGATGTGTTTCAACAGTTTTTTCCCAATAGAAGTTACTCAATTAATGTAGTAACCATTAAAACAAACTCCTCTCTCTCTCCTTTCTTTCCCTTCCTCCATTTCTCTCTCCCTCTCCCCTCCTTCTCTCCCTCCCTTTCTCTCTCCCCCTTCTCCTTCCTTCCCTCCCTCTCACTCTCTCCCTCCCCCCTCCTTCCCGCCCTCCCTTTCTCTTTTCCTCTCCTCTCCCCTTTGATTTGAATGGTTGCAACGTGTCAGAAATTTTCCTTCCTAGGCAAAGCAGCATAACTCAAAACTATTTCTTGGACTGAAGATCATTTTTTCGATCTCCTGGCAAACAATTCAGTTGATGACATCCATGCTTAATTTCCAAGTTGCAGTCATCTTAAAATTCAAAGGGCTGTAATGATGAGATCAAGGATGCTCGGGGATGGTTCTATCATCATTACTGTCAAGTTGGCTGTCAAAGAGTAGCGATAATCCACATCGGATTGGTGTTTTCATGAACATCAGATTTCAGGTGTCAAATTTCCCCTCCTCCACTTGGATTATCCTACCTAATTTCTACAGAGCCCACATTATAATATTTTATGCATACATGTCTCTTCAATCTCTTCAAATTCAAATATAGTCTACATTCGGATGAAGATCTATCTGTAGCCATGGGGGTGAACCTATGGCATGCGTTCCAGAGGTGGCGTGCAGAGCCCTCTCTGTGGGCACAAATGCCACCACCAGCTGCTCTTCATGCATGCCGGCAAGCTGGTCTTCACAACCTGAAAATGGACCCAAAACCGGCTGTTTTCCAAGCTGACTTTGGGCATATTTTAGGGTTGTTTTCAAATGGTTTTTGACCTTTTTCAGACAATTTTTTGGGCTGCAAATCTGCCTGAAAAATGGCCTGAGAATGGCCAAAACAAATGGCCAAAAAACAAGCGTGTATGCACTGGCTAGTTGGTCTTCAGTTGTCTGGTGCTCCGGTGAGCGCACATGCAAACACGTTCTGGTTTGGGCACTTGGTGCCGAAAAGGGTCGCCATCACTGATCTATAGCATGTAAGAGCCTTGGTGGCGCAGTGGTTAGAGTGCAGTACTGCAGCTAATTCTGCGGACTGCTGGCTGCCTGCAATTTGGCACTTTGAGTCTCACCAGCTCAAGGTTGACTCAGCCTGTGGTCAGTAAAATGAGGACCCAGATTATTGGGGTCACGATGGTGACTCTGTAAACCGGTTACAGAGGGCTAGAAAGCACTGTGAAGCGGTATATAAGTCTAAGGGCTATTGCTATGGATTTTGACAATCTCAGAAGGATGTTCACCTGTTAATTTTTTCCCTTTGTTTTAGAGGCAACGGAGAATACCAGTTTATGTTAATAGTTAAAACAAGATGGTTTGAAAATGTCTGTTCAAACAGATTTTTCTAAGAGGGTGTTTTTTAAAAAAATAAATAATGAATAGGGATTGTTTTCCCAAAGGATGGAGGATTTAATTGGAGTGATGCACAAGAGCAGTTTCGAAGTCAACAAAGTGTCAGACACAGTGAGCGAGCAAGGCAGTGGAAATCCAGCACACGAGACAAAACAGATGCAAATGAGAAGTAGTGAAGTTGGGTTCATGAATGTGGAAAAAGTAAAAACAGATTTTCTAAAAAGACAAAGAAATAGTGTTACTCAATGATCATTGAGCAATAGAGCTTGTTCCCACCCCCCAATACAATACAATACAATAGCAGAGTTGGAAGAGACCTTGGAGGTCTTCTAGTCCAACCCTCTGCCTAGGCAGGAAACCTTATCAGACAAATGACTACCCAACATCTTCTTAAAGACTTCCAGTGTTGGGGCATTCACAACTTCTGGAGTTCCACTGATTAATTGTTCTAGCTGTCTGGAAAATTGTCCTCAGTTCTAAGTTGCTTCTCTCCTTGATTAGTTTCCACCCATTGATTCTTGTTCTAGACTCAGGTGCCTTGGAGAATAGTTTGACTCCCTCTTCTTTGTGGCAACCCCTGAGATATTGGAAGACTGCTATCATGTCTCCCCTGGTCCTTCTTTTCATTAAACTAGACCCACCCAGTTCCTGCAACCATTCTTCATATGTTTCAGCCTTAACAGAATAAGAGTTGGAAGGGACCTTGGAGG